GGAAACAATATAATGAGCCCATCCATGGATGGGAGATAGATAGATACAGGAGATAAATACTGCATGATCTTGGAACTAAAAAGAAGAGGATTTAGGTACCTGGCTGGCTCAGTCAGTTGAGTGTCTGACTTCAGCTCAGGTCAAGATCTCAGTTTGTGAGTTTGAGTCCTGCTTGAGCCCCATTAAGCTCCACTCTCCACACAGAGTCCCCTTCAGATCCTCTGTCTCCCTCTCTCTCTGCCCCTCCCCAGTCACGCTCTCTCTCAAATATAAAAATAAACACAAAAAAACAAAACAAAACAAGGATTGTATGGAAGAGGATTGGGTGGAATGAAATGTCTTATAAGTAGGGCCTTGTTATCCATGAGAAATTACTTGGATTTCATTCTAAGAAAAAAGACAAGCCATTAAAAAAAATTGTAAGTAGGGACTATCAAATCCTGATCTGCATCAGAATTAATCCAATAGAGACATTAAAAATATAGATGCCTAGGACCTACCCTATAGATGCTGATTCAGTCCATCTGGGTTGGTCACTGTACATCAGTACTTTGCAACAACTTTCCCAGTTGATTCTGATCAACACCTAAATTTCAGAACCATGGACTTAACATTTTACCTTTTCATAACTTCTTTATCATATATACAGTCCTCTCATTCTCGGAGTTTCTTTCCTTTTCTTCAAATTTCCAATACCGTGTTAGCTATTGACTGCTGATATTCATTATTTTCAATTTATTTCCTCCATGTAATAATTTTATTTTTATGATACAGGGAAAATAAAATCATTGTTTCCCTTCTACTGTTCTTTCAGATTTGGAGTCCAGATGTGAGACAAAGACGTTTTTAGGGGGAAAAAAAGGCTCTCAATGCAAGGTAATGGAAGGAAAATCTTGACTTGGAGGATTCCCAATTCCAGAAATAACTGGCAAAATAAAAGCACGATTTAGGCAAGGGTCTCAAGACTGAGATCTTAGCTAAATGGAAATAATGGCTGGAAATGGAACCAAGTATAAAAAAGCGTAAGTCTCTTACTCCACATCAGGGAATTTATTAGAGATATTCTATGGGATAAGGAATATGAGAACATCATTGATTATAGTTCAAACTTTGTTCGTGATGAGAGAATTCATTCTAGTGAGAAAATCTATGATTGTAAAACATAGGGAAAGCCTTTTTGTGTGCACAAATGGTGAAATGCATTATCTGAAAATTCCTGCTGTTATGAAACTTAGTGTCTGAAGTTTAAATGTTGTATATCCATAAAATGGAGTATTATTCAGCTATTAAAAAAAGAAATAAAGTACTGATTCATGCTAAAACATAGATGAACCTTGAAAATATTACCCTAATTTAAAGAAGCCAGACACAAAGGCCAAATATTGCATGATTTCATTTATATAAAGTGTTCAGAAGAGGTAAAACCACAGAGACAGAAAGTATATCAGTAGTTGTATGAGCACTGGGTGGTGTATGTAAATGATGAATCACCGAATTCTACTCCTGAAACCAATATTGGACTATATATTAACTAACTAAAATTGAATAAATAAAAAAAAGAAAGTAGATTAGTGGTGATAAGGGGCTGGGGAGAGGGAAGAATGGGAAGACTATTAATGTTGATAGTGTTTTTTCCTGGGGTAATGAAAATGTTCTGGAATTGGTGGTAATGATTGCACAACTTTGTGAATATACTAAAAATTACTGAATTTTACACTTAAAGGGAGTAAATTTTATGGTTACATGAATTATATCTCAGTTAAAAGAGATTATTATATACACACACACACACACACACACACACATGCACAACAGGCTGGAAGAGCATCACGCTCTAATAGGCATTTCACTTCCACAAAGCATTTATTAGCAAGATGACTGTTTTCTAAAACTACAAAAGTGTATTTACAGCTAGTTAGAAAAACTATTAATTAAGTAATATGCAGGGCTTTTGGGTTTAGTAGAAATTTTAGAGATAATTAAAGAATTCACTGTTGAGAAACTACATGAATGTAAATAACATAGGAAGAGCTTTAGAGAATTTAGAGTTCATATTGGTGATGAGTCTCATGAATTTATGGAATGTAGGAAGTCCTTTACCTATGGAAGATACTTTTGAGTATATCAGAAAAGGTTTCCTGATGAGACACTCTATGAAATATATAGAAATTTGCTTAATAGTAAGATTTGATTCACACATTAATGACAATCAGAACCTACATGTTGAGAAAACATATAAGAAATGTATCAAGGCTTAAAATTAAAAAATTTTTTTTTAATGTTTATTTTTGAAGGAGAGAGAGACAGAGCATGAGCAGGGGAGGGGCAGAGAGAGTGGGAGACACAGAACCCGGAGTAGGCTCCAGGCTCTGGGCTGTCAGCACAGAGCCTGTTGTGGCTCTTGAACCCATGAACCATGAGATCATGACCTGAGCTGAAATTGAATGCCCAACCAACTGAGCCACCCAGGTGCCCCTTAAAAATTTTTTTAATGTTTAGTTATTTTTGAGTGGGGGGGGGGGTGGGGGAGAAAATGGGGGAGGGGCAAAGAGGGAGGGAGACACAGAATCGGAAGCAGGCTCCAGGCTCCCAGCTGTCAGCACAGAGCCTGATGTAGGGATTGAACTCATGAACTGTGATATCATGACCTGAACTGAAGTCAGACACTTAACTGACCAAGCCACCCAGGCACCGCTAAGGCTTTTACAACAACATTCCCTATCTTTTTCAGATAGGGAAAATAAGAACAGAATTATTTTCAAAATTTTATTTTCTTTTTGAGAGAGCAAGAGTGAGCAGGGGAGGGGCAGAGAATCCCAAGCAGGATCCACGCTGTCAGTGTGAAGCCTGACATGGGGCTCAATCTCACAAACCGTGAGATCCATGACCTGAGCCGAAACCAAGAGTTGGACACTTAACCGACTGAGCCACCCAGGTGCCCCTCCTTGTTGCCATTCTTTACATAGAAGTAGAGGTACCTGGTCATAGGGAATAGATACATTCAACTTTATCAGATATTGCAAAATTGCTTTCCAGTTTATAATAGTATGTTCTGGTCAACTTGTGGAATATACTAGCTGTATAAACCTGTTTCTGGAATGTCTCTTCATGATTACTATTTATATCTTTTTTTCTTTTTATCTATTCCTTCTTTACCTATAGATTTATAAATTTACTTAAATGCATTTTCTGTATTCTGATTCTTCAGTTGTTACACAGGACACATTTATCTTCATTAAGTAGGACATATTTAATTTTCTCTGGAAATTAGTAGTTAGAACTTCACGTAGATAGAAGTTTCAAAATCGTAGAGTGTTGGATTCCTTTGGGTGTATTTGTTTGGGTTTCTTTAACTGATTGAATCCTAGGTCTTTCACCAAACTTAGAAGTTTTTATCCATTATTTCTTCATCTGTTTTTCAGCACTGCACTTTCTCTTCTCCTTCCAGGAATCCAATAACATGGATGTCTGATTTTTATCTACCCCACTGCCCCCACCTCCCATTTCATTAAAAATAAAACAACAGAAAACAGCTTTTTATCTCTGTTCAGATCAGATCATTTCTATTGCTCCACCTTCAAGTTTGCTGGATTCTCTCCTCTATAATCTCCATTTGGCTATTGAGCCCATTTGGTGAGTTTTAAATTTTGGTTATTGTATTTTTCAGTTCTAAAATTTCCATTTGGCTCTTTCTTTAATATCATGTTTCTTTACTGAGATTTCCTATTTTCCCTTTGTTTTAAGAGTGTTCTTAATTGTCCAGATATGTCATAAGAAGTAAAATTTCTGGGGTGCCTGGGTGGCTCAGTCGGTAAGCATCCGACTTCAGCTCAGGTCATGATCTCACAGCTCGTAAGTTTGAGCCCCCCATCGGGCTCTGTGCTGACAGCTCGGAGCCTGGAGCCTGCTTCAGATTCTGTGTCTCCCTCTCTCTCTGCCCCTAACCCATTCGCATTCTGTCTTTGTCTCTCTCAAAAATAAACAAACATTAAAAAAAAAATGTAAGTGAAAACCACACTGAGATACTACTTCACACCCATTAGAATGATTTTTTTTTTAAGGCAAAACAAAATGAGTGTTGATTAGGATGCAGAGAAATTGGAAGCATTGCTGGAGGAAACATAAAATGGTGCAGCCACTGGGAAAAACTGACATTTGACATTTCCTCAAAAAGTTAAACACAGAATTACCACCTGATCTAGTAATTCCACTTCTGATTATATACTAAAAAGAACTGAAAGCAGGGACACAAACATATTTGTGTACCCACGTTTGTAAAGCATTCTTGACAGTAGTGAAAAAGTTGAAGCAACTCAAGAGTCCACTAAGAATGTTTCTACACATTTTTGACTAATGTGGTAAATAGTGGAGTATTATTGAAGACATTATACTAAGTGAAATAAGCCAGTCACAAAAGGACAAATATTGTATGTCTCTTATATGAGGTGTTTAGAGTAGTCAAATTCATAGAGATAGAAAATAGAATGATAGTTGTTAGGGATTGAGGGAGAGGGGAATGGGGAGTTCTTGTTAAATGGGTATGGATTTTCTTGAGTTTTTGACATGGATGGTGGTTGTACAAAAATGTGAATGTATTTAATGTTACAATTATACACTTAAAATGGTAAATTTTAGAGTTAACTATATTAATTATGTGAGGTGATGGATGTGTTATATTCATAATCATCCTATAATGTATATGCATATCAAATCATCACATTGTACACTCTAAGTATATATAATTATATTTGTCAGTTACTCCTTAGAAATGTAGAAAAGGTAACTTTTATGCATATTTTACAATAATAAAAAGAAAAAAGACACAAATAAGTTAAAAATGAAAGACAGAAAAAGACATTCCATGCAAATAGTAAAAGGTAGAAGGTGTTCCTTTACTAAATCAATCAAAATACATTTTAATTTAAGAATTGTTACAAGATAGGCATCTGGGTGGCTCAGTCGGTTAGGTATCTGACTTTGGCTCAGGTCATGATCTCATGGCTCGTGAGTTCAAGTCCCGCATAGGGTGAGCTTGAGCCCTGCTTTGGGTGAGCTCAAGCCCCGCTTCAGGTGAGCACGAACCCTGCTTCGGATGAGCTCGAACCCTGCTTCTGGAGAGTTCCTCTTCTCTCTCTCTGTCCCTTGCTCGCTTGTGCCTTCTTGCTCTCTCTCAAAAAAATAAAAAAAAAGAATTGTTAAAAGACAAGAATTTCATTATATATTGATAAAACAGTAAATTAAGAAGATATAACAAACATAAATCTATATGCACCAAACAACAAAGCCCCATAATATGTGACAGAAACATTGAGAGAGCTGAAGAGAAATAGAACTTTCTGTAATAATAATTGGAGACATCAATATCCACTTCCACTCATGGACAGAACAATTACACAGATGATTAATAAAGAAACAGGATTTTGGTAACAGTATATTAGACCTAACAGACATATACAGAACACTCTACCTGCCACAGGATATTACACATTTTTCTCCAGTGCATATTAAACAACCTCTAAGATAGACCATATATTAGGCCACATTAAGTCTTAATACATTTTTAAAGTTTATAATCATACAACAGAAAGAAACTAGAAATCAGTAACAAAGGGAAAGTTTGAAAATTCACAAATATATAAAAATTAACTCAGTCTTAAACAACCAATGGGTCAAGGAAGAAATCACAAGGGAAATTAGAAAATACTTTGGGATGTAAGAAAATGAAAACAGAATACTCCAAATTGTAATATATATAATTATTTATAATTATATTTCATTTCTAATAATTATATAAAATTATTACTATAACAAAGCATACAATGGGAAACATACACATACATTGAAAAGATCTCAGGGGCGCCTGGGTGGCTCAGTTGGTTGAGCGTCCAATTTCAGCTCAGGTCATGATCTCACAGTTTGTTAGTTTGAGCCCCACATTGGGGTCTGTGCTGACAGCTCACAGCCTGGAGGCTGCTTTGGATTCTGTGTCTCCCTCTGTCTCCGCCCATCCCCTGCTTGTGCTCTATCTCTCAAAAATAAATAAACATTAAAACAATTTTTTTAAAGATCTCAAATCACCAACTTAACTTTAACACCTTAAGGAACCAGAAAAAGAACAAACTAAACCCAAACTAGCAGAAGGAAGGAAATAATAAAGATTAGAGCAAAGATAAATGAAATAGAAATAGGAAAACAATATACATATATGGTGTTTATTTTATTTTTGAGAGAGAGGAGTGGGGAGGGACAGAGAGAGAGGGAGACAGGGAACCCCAAGCAGGCTCCCCACTGTCAGCACAGAGCCCAACACGGGGCTCAAACCCATGAACCATGAGATGATGACCTGAGCTGAAATCAAGAAGAGTTGGATGTTTAACCAACTGAGCCATGCAGGTGCCCCCAAAACCATTATATTGACTAAGAAAAAGATGTTACTCAAATTACTAAAAACAATAGAAAGTGGAACATTACTATTGATTTTACAAAAATAAATACTATTGTAATAGAATGCTATAAACAGTTGTATAACACCAAATTAGATCACCTAGATATAATGGACAAAATCCTAGAAACACCCAATCCACCAAATAGGACTCATGAAGAAATAGAAAATATGAATAGCACTATAACCAGCAAGGAGATTGAATCAGTAATCAAAAACTTTTCAAAAAAGAAAAGCTTAGGACCAAATGGCTTCACTGGTGAATTCTACCAAAGAAGAGTTCACACGAGTCCTTTTCAAACTCTTTCAGAAAAATCAAGGAGGAAATACTTCCTAGTTCATTTGATGAAGCCAGCATTACCTTGATTTGTCAAAGAGCCAGGACAAAGACACTACAAAAAAGGAAAACTATAGAGTGATATACTTAGAAATATTGTAAAATCTGTCATAAAAATACTAGCAAATCAAATTTGGCAGGATATTAAAAGGATTGTACACCATGAACAAGTGGTTTTTATTCATAAGATACAAGGATTGTTCATTATGTGAAAACCAAATATAATATACCACATGATAGAATGTGGGAAAATACATGATTACCTCATTTGATGCAGAGAAAGCATATGGCAAAATTCAACACCATTTCATGGTTAAAAAACAAAACAAAACCATAATTAAATTAAAAGCAGAAGGAAACTTCCTCAACATGGTAAGGACCATTATATGAAAAACCTGCTGCTAACATCATATTCAATAGTGAAAGACTGAAAGCTTTCCTTGTAAGATCAGGAGGAATATTAAGATGCCCATTTTTGACCTTTCTATTCAGCACAGTATTAGAAGTTCTAGCTAGAGCAAAAAAAAAAAAAAAGTTCTAGCTAGAGCAATCAGGCAAGAAAAAGAAAAGGCAGCCAATTGTGAAGAAAAGTAAAGAATCTGTCCATAGATGATACTAGTTTTTGTTGAGGACTAAAAATTTCATTAAGAAGCTGGTGGATCATGGTCATGTTTGCTGTTTCTTAATGTTTTCAAAAGTTTTATAGTTCTTCTCTGAAGATGGCATGGCATGCTCCAGAACCAGAGAGGTCTACATTGCATGTTTCCTATCGTGGAGTTTCCTTGGTTGTGGAATCTGCCACATCTAAAATCCAAAGAGGCCAACCAGTCATTAATGCTTCTTGATGGTGGGAAGTGCAAGATGCAATACTGTATCCATTATTTCAGAGGGAATATTCTGGAATGCCTCAAACCACTATAACCCCAATATTATCACTGCTGTGGTGACATTTTAATCTTCATAATATTTATCTGTTTTGTTGTGTTTTACCAAACCCTCCAATCTGGTTACTATCTTTTGCTAAACCAGTCTGATTAGGATGATTTCAGTCGTGTAGTGGACCAGTATGTAGTCTGTGGGATGTCCAACTGGTCCAGATCTCTTTGAAATATGACAGAAGGAAGCTAAAATAACTTAGTTGTAGAGCCAGAATAAAAATGTGTAATATCCAGGGGCACCTGGGTGGCTCAGTTGGTTAAGCGTCCAACTTTGTCTCAAGTCATGATCTCATAGTTTGTGGGTTCGAGCCCCATGTCGGGCTCTGTGCTGATAGCTCAGAGCCTGGAACCTGCTTCAGATTCTGTGTCTCCCTCTCTCTTTGCCCCTCTCCCGCTTGAGCTGTCTCTCTCTCTCAAAAATAAATAAACATTAAAAAAATTTTTTAGACGCAAAACCTCCATCCCAAGTGAATGTGAACCGTTTGTGATCCACCTTTCTGACAAGGATGGCCAATAGTTAGTTCAATGATTGGATAATGTATTTATTTTCTACTGCTGCACAAGAAATTACCACAAATTTATCTTGATAATACTCATTTTTGTTTCAGTCTGTCAGAAGTCTGGGGATAGTATATATATATGGGTTCTCAGAAGGCTGAAAACCAGTGCTTGTTGGGGCTGTGATTTCATCTGGAGGTAGAGATTCTCTTCCAATCTCACTTGGGTTGTTGGCACAATTCAGTTCCCTTCAGGTGTGTGACTGAGGTCCCATTTTAAAATTATGTTTTTTTTTTTTTTAAATTTATTTATTTTGAGAGAGCATGTACAGGGTAGGGGCAGAGAGAGAGGGACAGAGAGATTCCCAAGCAGGCACTGCACTGTCAGCACAGAGTCCAACATGGGGCTCGATCTCACAAACTGTGAGATCATGACCTGAGCTGAGATCAGGAGTCAGATGCTTAACTGACTGAGTCATCCAGGTGCCCTAAGTTCCCATAATCTTGCTGGCTGTTGACTCAGTGTCATTTTCATCTCCTAGAGGCCACCCTGAGGTACTAGCCACATAGCCCCAACCATAGCTCACAACATGGTTGTATGATTTTTTTTTTCCAGGCCACCAGGAGTGTGTCTGCTGCTGTTTCTTCTCTCTTTTTAAAAAGCTCCCCAGTTAGATGAATAGTGGTAAGAAGGTTGGATTCTTGTCTGCTATTGTACATTTGGTTTCTATGTCTATTATGTCCTTTTTCTTCCTCTATTTCTAATTTACCACATCCTTTAAGTGAATACTTTGTAATATTTTAATGTATCCAGTGACTTCTTGCTATATTGTTTTATTTAGGTTTTTTTTATTAAAAATTTTTTTTAATGTTTATTTTTGACACAGAGAGAGAGAGAGAGACAGAGCATGAGTGGGGAGGGGCAGAGAGAGAAGGACACACAGAATCTGAAGTAGGCTCCAGGCTCTGAGCTGTCATCACAGAGCCCAACGTGGGGCTCGAACTCACGAACCATGAGATCATGACCTGAGCCGAAGTTGGATGCTCAACCGACTGAGCCACGCAGGCGCCCCTAGTTATTTAGTTTTTGATTACATAAATCTTGTTCTGGAGCTTATCAGAAGCAGTTTCAGATTTATGCTAACTTAAATCCAATAAGACAGAAATGTTAGACTCCCGAGGGGTTTATTCTCTTTTCTCCATTTTTGATGTATTACTGTTTTACTACATCTGTGTCTATATCTCTACATACTACATCTGTGTTACAACTCTACAATACCTTGCTATGATCATTACTTTCTATAATTGTGTTTTAAAGCTATTAGAATATGTATAGATTTATAGATTTTGTTGTATTTTCTTATTATTCTGGTTCTTATTTGTTCCTGTGGTTTTGAGTAACCATCTGGGCTCATTTCCTTATCTCCCTACTACAGCAGCATTGTTTCCTCCCACCTCTTTTGTTCTTTTGTGCTGTTACCAGTATAGTAATATTACATATTAACATTTTATATTATTTTTCTAACACATTATTTACATGTTTTATAGAAATGCTTTTAACATAAGACAACAAAGTAGAAAAATGTGCATTTGTATTGTATTTTATAATTACATAGTTACTTTTACAGGTGCTGTTTTTAATGTATATCAAAATTACAATTAGGGGTCATTTGCTTTCAGCTTGAAGAAATTAGTAATCTCTTCAAGCTGGTGACAAAGCCTCTCAGTTGTTTATCTTGGAATAAACAAGGCTTTATTTAGCCTTCATTAAAAAAAAAAAAAACCCTTTTAATTTTTATTTACTTTTGAGAGAGAGAGAGAGAAAGAGAGAGAGAGAGCAAGAGCACAAGCAGGGGAGGGACAGAGAGAGGGAGACACAGAATGTGAAGCAGGCTCCAGGCCCTGAGCTGTCAGCACAGAGCCCAATGCGGGGCTTGAACTCACGAACTGAGATCATGACCTGAGCTAAATACTCAACTGACTGGGCCACCCAGGTGCCCCTAGCTTTCATTTTTTAAAGCCACTCTGGCTGGGTGTAGGATTCTTGGTTAAAAGGCATTTGTCTTTCAGGACTTGGAATTTGTCTCCCCACTCCCTTCTGGCCTCCATTGTTTCTGATGTGAAGTCAGCCATTAATCTAGTTGGGGCTCCCTTTTAAGTGATGAGTTCTTTTTCTCTTGGTGCTTTAAAGACGTTTTCTTTGCTTTGTTTTCAGCATTTTTACCCTGATATGTTGGTGGATTCCTTTGTGTTTCTACTACTTTGAATTTGTCGAACTTCGTGGACACAAATTATGATGACTATTAAATGAACATTTGTTTACTGGAGCACAGACTGCTGGATGGGGAGTCATGGTTCAACAACAGAACACAGGAGAAATTGAAATAGAGAAGTGCATTACATGTCTTGGAGGAAGTACACAAGAGGCCAGATGAGAAGGTCAAGGCAGAGTGCAGACAGAGAAAGTACAACATGGGGCACATGGCTTTATTACAGTGGAGTGCTTTATGGTTCCTGGGCTGGGGCTGGATTGGTCAATACAAACCAAAAGAATAGTATTTTAGTAAGACTCCCACAGGAGTCTTATCTAAGGGGCACATACAGATGCTGGTAGCCTGAGGAGACTTGATCAGAAGGCTGTTGGGAAATCATATCAGGAACTTTCATTTGCTGTGACTCTGCAGGCTGCTACCTAGGGTATGTGCTTATATGAGGGGGTTAGTGTCAGTTGAAGATTTTGGCAAGACACTTAACCAAACGAAATGTATGCCAAAGCAGCAATATTAGTTTAGCTAATGATAATAGTAAATAATAGCTAATAATAATAGCTTAGCTAAACTCTCATTATTATTGTAAATAAATTTGGGAAGTTTTGAAGTTTTTTTAATGCTTTTTTTTCGAAACCTCTCTGTTCATTCTGGTATTCCCGTTATGCATATAATGGTGCACTTCACTAGTGCCCCACATTTCTCTGTTCATTTTTCCTTATTATTTTTTCTGTGCTTAAACCTGTATACTCACTAATGACCTATCTTCAAGTTTGCTAATTCTTTCTTCTGCTAATTCAAATCTTTTGAACCCTTCTAATGAAATTTTCAATTCTGGGATTTCCATTTTCTATCTTTGCGGTACTTGGCTGGCTTAGTTGGTACAGCATGTGACTCTTGATCTCAAGGTTGTGAATTCACACCCCACATTGGGATGGAGCCTACTCAAAATTTTTTTTTCTATCTTTATTGCCACACCTTACTTGATGTAGCATTGCCACTATTTCTTTAATCATGATTCCCTTTTGTTCTTTGAATATATTTATAATGGCTTCTTTGAAGTCTTTGTCTATTAAATCTGACATCTGGTTGCTCTATTAGGCAGTCTCTTTTTCTTTTTGCCAAAGCAGGAGTCATATTCTGTAGTTTCTTTGCATGTCTTATAAATTTTCTGTTGGCAAATAAGACATTTTAGATAATATATTGTTATTTCTGCATTCATCTGCTTAGGAAAATGTCAGAGGAGAAGGATATCCTCAAGAAAAGATAGAAGTAGGGCTTGAGATATTCCATGGCTACAAAGACCAGTTAGGGGTATAAATGGACCAAAAAAGAAAAAAAAATTAAAGATGTTTTTTTAAAAGTAAAAAGGATATAAGGTTTGATTCTGGGAAACTACTGTTTGGCTTCATGGTTTAAAACTTGTTCAAAAGTACAACATTCATTTGGGCTTTATGATAGAATATCTGTTGTATATTGCATCACTTTCTTTCCTGCCTCAATGTGGAAATTAAAGAGGGAGGAATAGGCAAACCGGGAATATAGAAGGGCTGACCTATTGCAGCTGTAGGTACTGTCACTCCTAGTTGGTGGGAAAAAGAGAGCAAGAGAAGGGGAAATAGTTTTGAATGTTTGGTCTCATGAATACTTTGCAACCTCTCATTATTTTACTGTATTTTAGGGCTTTTTCATATAAAATTTGTATACACTGTATACATAGGTATGAAAAATATCAACTGACCTTATTAGTTAAGTACCCCTTAATATGCTCCAGCACTAAGCAAACATTAATTCATTTTGTCTACATATTTACCTTTCCTGGATATCTCCTGTAAAAGGAATTATACAACATGCGGTACTTTGTGACTAGTTTCTTTTATTTACCCTAAAGTTTTGAAGATTCAAGTTATAGCACGTATCCTTTTCATTTCTTTTTATTGTTGAATAATGTTACCTTGTATGGGTATGCCACATTTTGTTTATCCATTCATCAGTTGATGGATATTTGGGTTGTTTCCATGTTTTGGCTGTTATGAATAATGCTGCTGTGAACACACGTACATGTTTTATGTGGACATATATTTTCATTTCTCTTGATTATATACATGGGGGTGGAATTGTGGATCTATGTTTACCCATTTGAGGAACTGCCAGATTCTTTTCCACAGTAACTGCACCATTTTATATTGTCTAGTTGTGTATGAGTTTTGATTTCCCCATGTCCTTGCCAATACTCATTACCTTTATATTTGATTCTAGCACATCCTTGTGTGTAGTATCTTATTATTTTGCTTTCCATTTCGCTGTTGGCTAAAGGTCCTGGGATTTTATTATACCTTTATGCATAAAGAAAGTAAACAGAATTCCCTTAACATAAAAATATTTTAACTATTTATGGCTTTCAATAAAACACAGATGACAGTTTAAACATTATTACCTGGGCAGCAAATAATGAAATAAATAACTAATAGGTTTACAGATTTAGAAAGTAAGGGACAGGAGAGCGAGGCTAATATTCATTTAATGTTCTCAATTTAACACTTTATTATATCAGTTTCTTTGAAATAAATTTTATGACAAAGAATGGTATTAATTCCACTGCAGCTCCACAGGGAGAGGGAGGACATGGCCTTCCTATTTTTCTAAGATTACTTTTTACTACTGTTCATTAGGTGGGTCTCCCTTCTTAGGCTAAGACATTAACTTGTTTGCGTTGTAATACAAAACAGGACTGGAAAGCTCAAAATATAAGGAAATGGAAAGTGCACAAGATAATTTTTAAAAATGTTTATTTATTTGGGGGCACCTGGGTGGCACAGTCGGTTAAGCGTCTGACTTCAGATCAGACGATGTCAGTTTGTGGGTTTGAGCCCCACATAGAGCTCTGCACTGACAGCCCAGAGCCTGGAGCCTGCTTTGGATTCTGTGTGCCTCCCCCCCCCGCCTCAAAAATAAACATTTAAAAATAACTAATAAGTAAATGCTTATTTTGAGAGAAAGAGCACATGCACATGTGTGAGTGGGGGGGAGGGGCAGAGAAAATCCCAAGCAGCATCAGTGCTGTCAGCTCAGAGCCCAACATGGGGCTCCATCTCATGAACCGTAAGATCATGACCTGAGCTGAAACCAAGAGTCAAATGCTTAACCAACAGAGCCACCCAAGGTGCCCCTGCAGAAGATAACTTTGTTAAGACACAATGTAATGCAGAGCATATAATGTTTGCAATCAGGATGACATTTCACTTTCCATCTTGCACAATCCTGTCTTTGCCTAATTTCTCACTGTTACCTCTTCTGCCTCACATCTGAGCATCCAAACAATGTGGCATGTAAATTAAGAAACCATATATACTGATACTCAGAAGACATAGGGTAAATGTAAGATGTTGTTTACAGATCCATAGTTACTGACGCAGTTGGGAACTGAGCTGTGTATTATTAACCATCATATCCAGTGATGGATCCAGTGAGGATCCAGGCTCTCACTACCCACAAAAACTCAACCTCCCATGTTGCCACTGCTAAAGAATAAACAAAGGGGGCATGTCAATGTGATTAAAAGTAGTTAATCAATTAGCAGGAATTCATATTAATCTCTTTGGGTGTGCATAGTTGCCTTATGCTATACAGTTTTCCAGCTATTTTTAATTTTAGTTTTGTGACATACAAGTGGAAAAACACTAATTTACTGAATGACTACATTACAAGCACTTTATATTCTTTATAAACTCCTTTGTATACTTTGTAAATATCCCTTCATTTAGACATGGTAGGTAGAGCACTGGCATGTCTATCTTCATACTTTATCTGAAGAGAATGAGTCTCAGTGATATTAAAATAAAAATAGGGATACAACTAAAAATGGTGCACGTGGAGACTGGAATCTAGATCTGTTTGACCCCAGAACTCATGAACATTATCCTGTAACTGACTGTCTCCACATGAGCTTGAATCTGGGAATATCTGCTGGCCAGGAGGTAGCCCATTTCTACATCAAATTATACAAAAACTTCATATTCATCCTTTAGCCCCCATAAACCTCCAAACTGGCAGTAATGGGAAGGCAGGGAGTGGAAGGTGAAAGGCCTGAATATTTAACCAATTCTCTTTCGTCTTCTTCTCTGCAGTCAGCATTTGGGTTTATTTTTCCAAATACACAGACTAAGAAAGGCAAGGACACTGCACTTTAGCCTCAACAAGTGACATGCTATTCTACTGAGTCTTTATCTTCCAAGAGCTGTTGCCAGGCCTCCTTTTAGCTCCATATCCCATCTCCCCAGTTTCTTTTTAATCAAGCTTATACTTCTTATGCTACACTTTGATTTCTGTTGGATCATGTTTTCTTTATTCCCCTTTTCTACTGGATTAAAAACTATTCTATTTCTTTTATAGGGTACCCTTAAATTTTTAACTTGTATCTTTGATTTGTAATTAGTGGGCATCTCCAGAAACACTTTAGAATGCTTTAAGTACTTTTTTTCTATTGTTATCTGGTGATTTTAATCTAATTTGTTTTGAAATGCCATTAAAATTAATAATTATTGTTTAGTATATGCTTACATTTTCCAACAGTTACCGATTTTATCTCATTCAGTCTTTCCAGGTTTAACGTACTTCTTGCCAATGTACATCCTTTAGAAATTCTCCAGTGAGTCTATGAAAGAAAAGGGTGGATAGTATTGAATTTATGTCCAAAGGAAGGCTTCGGACACTATTCCTTCTTTTACTGAGATTCAAGGTCTATTCTATCCATAGGCTCTTGTCATCATGGACCCGCTCCTCTTGTCCTTTCTCTTCTCCAGTGCTTTGTGTATAGAAAGCAGGCTTTCCCATCTGCTCTTTCAACCCTAGGTTACTTCTATACTTTTGGTGCCTATTATAGAGTGGAGGCATATAAACAGGACAAGGCATTCCTGGCATATGACTACATGGGAGAGGAGAAACATGATCCAGAAGGGTGAGCTGGAGAAGAAGGAGGACACTGTGATATGGGACCTCCCTTCTCACCATATATTAATATGTTATTAATACATGTATTAATATGTACACAATAATAATACATATTAATACAATAATTAGCGATACATATTAATAACATAATAATAATGCATATATTAATATTGTAATCTGATTTTACCTCCACCTTTACTGAAAAACCAAGGTCTGTGGACATGATGAAGTCTTTCCCTTGTATGGGCTCTCCTACACACTCACTACTTAGACATCAAATCACTGTCTAGGTAAGATTGGTTCATTCAAGGAATATATAGTTACTTAATTCAAGAGAATGTATGTTTGTGGGCATGAGAAAGGAGATGCTGAGTGAAATACTCAATAAGTGAACAGTATTTAAAATTAGAAGAACTTGGAGAAGGCAGAGCTCTGTTTATCTGGTGAGAATAAAAGGAAATGACCAGTTTCTTGAAAGGGAATACTATCTCCAGGAAGTTTCAAGATAGGAAAATGCTCATAAATGCTAGAGGGGAAAAGAATATTTCAGAAAAGAGAGAAGAAACAACATCTCACCTGAGGTATTTCTTTAAGATTTGCAAGAGAGGACCTTTTTTCTTTTGGATACTTTGTTAGGAAGGTGGAAAGGGAGAGAGAAGAGAGGCAAAAGTAGCCATGTAAAATCCCACTTCCCTTAAATGTTTCCATAATAACTTGGTTAAATCTGCCTAGTTCAGCAGTAAACATTTACTATTAAGTATTAAGAATCATTATGTTAGGGGTTGCCTGGGTGGCTCAGTCGGTTAAGTGCATTGGACTCTTGATTTCAGCTCAGGTCATGATCTCATGGTTCGTGAGTTCAAACTCCACATTTGGCTCTGCACTGACAGCATGGAGACTACTTGGAATTCTCACTTTTCTCCTCTCTCTCTGCCCCTCTCCCACACTCTCTCAAAATAAATACATAAACATTAAAAAAAAAAGAATCATTATGTTAGGGGCACCTGGGTTGCTAAATCGGTTAAGTGTCCAACTTTAGTTCAGGTGATGATCTCCCGGTTCATGAGTTCGAGCCCCACATTGGGCTCTCTGCTGTGAGCACAGAGCCTGTTTCGGATCCTCTGTATCCGCCTCTCTCTACCCCTTCCCTGCTTGTTCTCCCTCTCTTTCTCAAAAATAAATAAACATTAAAAAAATAAACATCCTCCACATTAAAAAAAATCATTGTTAAATATTAACTACTCAATAATAAAGGTTTGAGTAATAGAGGAGAAACTGATTATGTAGTTTTCTACGCTATAGGCTCCAGTCATATGGAAAAAAAATTTTCCTTTATATGAACTTTCAAATATTGATTTTTATAGTAAATATTTTTATTAGAGAATAAGACTGACTTTGTGATGAGGAGTATTTCAGATACTTTTCCTTGACTCAGAATGTCTGAAAAGTTATGAAATCACCCATGATTTCATCTAGGAATGGGGCTGGGGAGGGAGAAATCCCTCGAATCTGTTAAAAGAAGTACAGAGATAAGAAGTATTTTTCTTGTGTGCTACCTATTGAATCCTGGTCATTTCAACACATTAGAATTAGTTAATATGGCATTCCAGGTATATAATCCTATCACCTGTAATTTTACCTCCTACTTACCAATTCTTTTTTATAAAAATAATGTGTAAGTTTAATGTGTACCATGTTATGATGTGATACGTGTATACACTATGAAATGATTGTCACCATAAAGTTAGTTAACACCTCCATCCTCTCATATAATTATCTTTTTTGGTTTTGTGGTGATAACATTTAAGATCTAATCTCTTAACAACTTTGAAGTACATAATACACAGTATTGTTCATTGTAGTCACCACACTGTACCTTAGATTCTCCAGAACTTATCTTTTGTATCCTTTGACCAACATCTCTCCATTTCTCCTACCCTCGTAACCCCATGGCAACCACCATTCTACTATTTCAATGACTTTTTTATTTTTTTTTGTTTTTGTTTTTTTTTTTTAATTTTTTTTTCAACGTTTTTTATTTATTTTTGGGACAGAGAGAGACATGGTAAACGGGGTGAGAGAGAGGGAGACACAGAATCGGAGTAGGGTTCCAGGTCGAAGAGCCATCAGCCGAGCCCGAAGGGTGCTCCTCCCGAACCGACTGACCGCTGAACGAGATCGTGACCTGGCTGAAGTCGGACGCTTAACCTACTGCGCCACCCAGGCGCCCCTCAATGACTTTTTTAAAAAAAGATTCTGCATATAAGAGAGATCATACAATATTTGTCTTTCCAGAGAAGACACTTAGCATATGCCTCCCAAATAAGTAATCATCCAGGTGGTCACAAATAGATTACTACAAAAAATTTTTTTAACGTTTATTTATTTTTGAGAGACAGAGAGAGAGACAGAGCACAAGTTGGGGAGGGGCAGAGAGAGGGAGACACAGAATGCGAAGCAGACTCCAAGCACCCAGCTGTCAGCATAGAGCCCAATGCAGGGCTCCAAACCACAAACTGTGAGACCATGACCTGGGCTGAAGTCGGTCGCTTAACTGATGGAACCATCCATCCTCCCCAGATTTACTTCATTTTAAAGGCTGAATAAATACTCCATTGTGTATATATATACCACTTTTTCTTTATTCATTCATCCATCAATGGACACTTTGGTTGATTCCATGTCTTGGCTATTGTGAAGAATGCTACAGTGAATATGGGAATGCAGATTTCTTTGATATCCTGTTTTCATTTCCTTTGGATATCTCTATACTGCTATTTTACTTGATTAGAAACAGTCATAATTCCATAAGCAGAATCAAAATGACACATACCTTACTAGATACATAGTGTTTCTCAGTAGTCAATACCACTTACATAGTGATCTAATTTAATAGTCACCATGGCGTGGAGTAAGTACACAAAATCACGATAAATAGAGTTGGTACATACTCATTGGGTCTCCTATGTCTCACCCACTTCACAAAGCCACAATCCCATAGGATCTTACATCACATTCATAACTCCGCTAAGTCCATCTCATAATTCCATACAAGACAGCAAATCAAACTCGAAAACCACTTACTCCACAGTTACATAGAGCCTCAAACACAAGTCACTAACAACTAATTATTCTGCAAGGTTTATCAACTTCTTAGACAGTTAAATATAAACTGAACTATTACCCAGCTTTTTTTTCTTCTAGGTATTACCCCAGGAGAAATGGAAACATGCCAGCTTTATACATAGTATGTAAAACCTGGAAATACAACAAATGTTCACCAAGAGAAAAATGCATACACAAATTGTGACATATTCACACAATTGAATGTTGTTCAGAAATGAAAAGAATGAACTACATTAATAAACCTCACATTAATAAACCTTACAAAACTAGGATGTGAAAAAGAGAATTGCAGAACTGACAACTAAAATGTGGGCATGTGTATCAGAACTATTGCGGGGGCATCTAGGTGAAGCCTCCCAATTCGCCTCAGATCATGATCTCATGGTTTGTGAATTCGACCCCCCCCCCCCCCCCCCCGTGGGGCTCTGTCTTGACAGCTCAGAGCCTGGAGCCTGCTAAGGATTCTGTCTCCTCTTTCTCTCTGCCCCTACGCCGCTCGCGCGCGCGCTCTCTCTCTCTCAAAAACAAACTTAAAAAAAAAAAAAAAGAACTTTGGCTGTCTATGCTGTGAGACTGGAAAAGGACACGAGAGAACTTCCTGGCAGCGATGGTATAAAATACACACCAGGGCAGGCATACACATACCCAGCGTCTGCTATATGCCAGACGCCATTCTGGGTGCTGGGGCTTTCTCAAGGGGCAAAAACTGACAAAACTCGTCATCTCTGGTTCACGACCACGGGGTCCCGCACACACAGGCCTGAGTGAAGAGAAACCTCGACAGGCACCGGCTCCCGTTTCTCACCTCAGCCTTCCCGCCCGAACTGCAGTACCCTCCTCAGCCCTTCTCGGCCCGACATCCCTCAGCACGGATTCGATTGCTTCCCGGGCCCTCCTCAACCTGGATCCGATTCCCTCAACGCTCCTGGGTTAGGGTTTCCGGTTCTCTCCCGGTCTTCCCAGACTCAGGCTGCCTCCGTTTTCCTCCTTGCCCCGCCTCTGGCAGGGTTCCGCTTCCCTTTACTTTCCTCCCTGCCCAGGTTTCCGATTACTTTCTCGGCTTGGGCTCTAGTTCATGCAAAGACCTCTCGCTCCCACGAAACCATCACCCGGCTCTTTCATGTTTTAAGAACCGCCACGGGCAACCTTCCGCGGAGGACGAAAGATCAGCCCACCCGGAACTCTCAGGTGTTTCGGGGGCGTGACGTGAAATTCGCGACGGTTGTACTCTGCTGCGCTCGAAAACCAGAACATTTTTTTTAGTGTTGGACTACGTTTCCCACAGGCCCCAGGGCCACGAATGGGCTTCGACTTTTGGTTCCGCTTCCGGTATCTTCGTGGTTATTGGGTTTTGCCTGGTGAGTTAAGGTGATCCAGGTCGGGTTGCGGGAGGAGCTCGCGGTATGGAGGTCCTAAGCTCCCGGGGCGCGGGTAAGGCAGATGGAGCCAGGAGCCTTGTCCCGGTGTTTGCGTAAACCTCGCACGACGGTGGTTTCGGGTTTTACTGTCTGTGACAAGTTCGTTGTGAACTCTTAGTGCACACGCCTGCATGCGTGTGAGTGAGAGTGTGTGTGACAGGCCCTGGAGTGCCCAGACTGGTATACGATAAGGCTAGTGGGACTGTCAGTACACAGTCTACGGTGACGAAAGGTGTCTGATACTGTGACCGAGTGATCCTGTGACAGCTGGGCTGTAACCGACTGTAAGTTTGAACGCAGTGGGTAGGATTTTTTAAAATTTCCCTAGTAAACCTGTAGGAGTGCTTCACACAGAGGGGATATTGGGGAAGTGAGTGTTGCCCACCCAGGGTCCACTGTAGGTTCCATGGTTACTTGGAAGTGTTTCCCTGGATTCTCCTCTGTTCTTACATCTTAGAGCCAGTTTGATCTATCTATAAAGAAATAGACATCAGAGGGGAAGTCATTGCTTTCAGAACCACAGTGTGCCCCCTAGAAACTGCTGTGAACTTAGATTCCAGCGCTGTTTATAGGTATGGCCTTTAAGTGTGACACTGTTAAAAGTCAGCAGTATTCTATTTATCTCTTATTCCATCTAGATATATTTGTGGTGGGTCATGGGTCATGTCTGATGGTGGACAGTGTGTTGTTTAGCCTGTCCAGAACCTCAAGGGTCCCTTCTTGGTCTTGTAGTTCTGCAAGAGAAGCCTCCTGAAGTAGAGGAGAGTGTTGCTACTTAACAGCGCGTTCAAGGTCAGTTCGTGTTTACTTTTTGTTCTGTCATATATATTTGCTTTACAGAACATAAAATATTTGCTTTCCTTCTAGATTGTATGACCTAATTGTGACCCATCCATTTACCTGATCCCTAGGTGGTTGCCCCTTCCCAGTTAATAACAGGACCATAGGGATGGGTCCCCTTCTTCTCCAGTGCTTTTCCTTTTCCTTCCCAGTTAATATTCATATACATATTGGTAATTATTCAGTTTCCTCATGTGCTGTTTTCTTTCCTAAAGATGGTACAGAAATAGAACTAGTTGAACTCTTCGAGGATAAACTAAGGACTTTAGAGTGTGTTTTGTCAAGGAAGAGACTGGTGGTTAGGTAGAATAACACACCAGACACCTTTGATTTTATTCACAGACTTGATTTTCAAACAAAGGAAGGTAGGAAATGGTTTCATTGATTTTAGTCAGTAAGACATTTTAGGAGTAGGAATATGATTGGAGTTTGTGAAGAGAGGTCTGTGTGAACAAGGGCAGGGAGTTTTTCCTGAGAATCCAATCTCTTGGAGTGGTGAGAACTAAGTCTTGAGATTTGGCAGTATGACTTTTTCAGACCACATACTGTGAGAGGCTGCATAATATAACGGTATTTGAATCTAAAGGTAATATAATGCAAGACACTTGTGTAATTTAAAATTTTCTTTTGTACACAGTTTAGAAAGTAAAAGGAAACAGTTGAAATTAAGTATAATATCCATTAACCAATATATCTAAAATATTATTTCAACATGTAATAATATAAATAAATGGAAGTATTTTACATTCCTATCTTCATACTGAGTTTTCAAAATCTGATACATATTGTTATAGCACTTTTCAGTTTGGATGCTAAATTTTCAGTGGTTATGGTGAAATGTATTTCCTTATGTGGATCCTGAGAAACTTAACAGAAACCCATGGGGGAG